CACCGACTTACAGCTTCTTTTTGATAACCTACGGGTTGAAAGTTGTCATTTATCATTGCTTACAATTTACTTCTTTGTTTCAAGGTCTTACCAATGGCTCCCAGACTCAATCGAGAGATCGGGACGAGGTGAGTGAAGATCGTTGTGGAATCGCTTCCGGCTCCGAGGAGGCCAATCACACCAATGGGGACGAGGATGCTGAGGGTTGGGAGTTCTCTAACGTAATTTCTCCAATTTGCTCTTTCCTCGATTGTGTAATTGTTGATGATCAAATCGGCCCAAAAGTCTCAAAGTCTCAAAGCCAGACAATGGCCTAGTTAAGTAATCAGGATGGTTACTATTTGGGTGTTTTACTCGGTGTCTGTCATGGCGACTATTCCGATTTGAGTGTCAAAAGAATTGTGGGCAGCCATAAGGCGGGCGCCTTTGAGAAGAAGCGCGTTGTCACATTCATGCTGACTGCGAAAAGAGCCAACAAGCACGGTGTAAAGGTCGACAGTGGGATATCTCTACGCACACCCTCAGAGGTTCTTATCCCTTTGGAATGGGTTTGCTAACACTACTGCTGCATAAAGCTACTGTTGACAGTATAGATGGAGCTAGGCTACCCTCTTAACGAGAGTGATTCTTTACTTCTAACCGGCTAATTCCAACATGCATCAAAAATGGCTCATACGTTAATAACTTTACTTTGAATCACTTTTCATTTCACGGACTGAGTTGTCGAAGTCGAATGTTTCAGGGGGTCAGATCTACCCGCAACAAAACGTGGATCAAGATCCATTCCCAATTTCATGATCATATGGCCAGCCGATCGGACACTCATCTTCATTTGCGACGTCCACATCTCCGTACTGCCACTTTCATCCCGGCCAGCTTTTCATTCGACTTGCTTGGTCCTTCTGAAAAACGGAATCAGTGGCTACCACGACTACACGATACCCTTACCGATTTACTTGATGCTGGTTCCGATATTGTCATCTCAGGGCGATTGCTGAGTTCGGACAAGTTGATTGAACTGTGTCGAGGTGAATGGTATTTTATGAACTCTCTCCTCTCCATCGGTCATCGACTTGCGCCATTTACATCAAAGGAACAGAGAAGTACTACTCGTTGCTTTATCAGTAGCATTTCTTTTTGATTTTAAACTAAAGTGTCTTCTTTCCTTGTGCAGCTAGCCGCCTGCAAGCAGAACTTGGCAAGTTGAATTTTGGTTTACCAGCTCGTGTTTGGCTGCCTGTAGAAACTAAAGAGCACATTGTTCTACAAATACCTCCGTCTGCTGCGGTGTGTCTTAATTCGTCTGAAAAAGTTAGTTACTCGATTTTTCTGTCTCCCCTTCATTACTAAAAGCCATTCGCTG